GAATGACACACGGATTTAAACACATTTTTCCACTGATTTCAGTTCCTTTCAAATTATAATGACTTTTGGTTTTTTTAATAAATTTTCTTTGGAAACTGTTGCCACGATCTGCTTTTATATTTGCTTTTAGACATCATTTTTATAATCTGAAGTTTGAGTTTTGGTGTCGTTAATCGTGTAAATATTGGTTTTGTCGAGTTTCTGTCTCCGCTTCCGCTGACGATTCTTACAGCGAAATTGGATTAACATAAATTTTACGAGCACTTCCCCCAAACTTCAATAAATAACCCCAACCCCCAAACTGTGCACTGTGCATTGTCAGAAAAAGCCCGTTTGTGCGTCGTCCTGGTGCTTTTGGAGCGCGGCGTCGTGTTCTGCGGTGAAGCCGTAGCTGCAGAGCGTTGAGCTGAAAAGTGCATATTCTTCCTGTGGTTTTGACACCTTTAAAAAACACTCACAATGAGAAACGAGACAAAGCACGAAGACACTTTCAGTTTGACTTTAGCACATACAGGAAAAAATGACGCTTTTTTTTTTTTTTTTTTTAAACAAAAACATTTAATGGTGTTAAAGATTTGAAATGGAAACTTAGAATATAAGACCGGGCCGGGTTTAGATCTGGTTTGGTCTTGGTTTAGCCCAAGTTTGGTCTTGGTTTAGTCCTGGTTTCATGCTGGTTTAATCTTGGTTTAGATGTGGTTTAGTCCTGGTTTAGTCTTGGTTTTCGTCTTAGTTTAGTCCTGGTTTAGTTTTGGTTAAGCTCTGGTTTAGTCTGTTTTAGTCCTGGTTTTTGTCTTGGTCTAGTCCTGGTTTAGTCCTAGTTTAGCTCTGGTTTAGTTTTGGTCTAGTCCTGGTTTAGTCCTAGTTTAGTCCTGGTTTAGTCCTGGTTTAGTCCTGGTTTAGTCCTGGTTTAGTCCTAGTTTAGTCCTGGTTTAGTTTTGGTTTAGTGTTTGTTTGGCTCTGGTTTAGTTTTGGTCTAGTCCTGGTTTAGTCCTGGTTTAGTCCTAGTTTAGTCCTGGTTTAGTCCTGGTTTAGTCCTGGTTTAGTCCTGGTTTAGTTTTGGTTTAGTCTTAGTTTAGTCCTGGTTTAGTTTTGGTTTAGTGTTTGTTTGGCTCTGGTTTAGTTTTGGTTTAGTCCTGGTTTGGTCTTGGTTTAGTTTTGGTCTCGTCCTGGTTTGGTCTTGGTTTAGTTTTGGTCTAGTCCTGGTTTAGTCTTTTAGTTTAATCATTTTAGTTCTTGTTTTCATGTATATTTGTGTTTTTTCCAGAGTCGTGCACACACCACGCCGCCCTGGGCCAACGCTTCGACCTCCCTCTGCCTTTGCCCAAAGAAAACAGAATCAGATGGAAGTTTGGGAGCAAGACAATATATGACAGTAGATCAGCAAACTCAAACTCACACTCAGTCACAGCACAGGGGGCGCTCATCCTGCCCACAGTGTCTCAGTCCAACAGCGGGGACTACACGGTCGAGACCGTCAACAAAGATGGACAGACCAAACAACAGACCCTGCACTTATGTGTCCACGGTACGTCCAGAACACCAGGGCGGGAAGGTCATCAACAGAGTTGGGGAAGTTACTTTTAAAAAGCTGTGTTTGCTCATTACTTATTACTTCTTTAAAAAGTAATCCCTTACTTTACTTAGTTACCCTCTATGGTGAGTAACTTTTTACGTTACTTGGGTCACTTTTTGGTGGTAAACTCCATCTAAGGGTGAATACAGCACGAGGACGACAGTCGACAAGAAATGTAAGCGAAATTTGAAGCGAGAGTTCAAGAGGACGTGGAACTGTTCAGAGGTAAACAGGTCTGTGAAGTCTGGAGGACCCCCCCGAGGGACCCCCCGAGGGACCCCCCCCGAGGGACCTCCCCCGAGGGACCCCCCCCCGAGGGACCTCTCCCGAGGACCCCCCCCGGGACCCCTCCCCGAGGGACCTCTCCCGAGGGACCCCCCCCCCGAGGGACCCCCCCGAGGGACCCCCCCCGAGGACCCCCCCGAGGGACCCCCCCGGGACCCCTCCCCGAGGGACCTCTCCCCGAGGGACCTCTCCCGAGGGACCCCCCCCCGAGGGACCCCCCCCCCCGAGGGACCTCTCCCCGGGTGTCGCTGGCCCCTGCCAAGCTCCTCTGAGGCGGTGGACCGCGACCGGCTCCGGGTCACTCAGGAAAGACTCGAGGTGAAGGTGGCTGCAGCTTTACAGCTCCTCCTGCCAGGACCTCGCTGCTCCCCAGAGCCGTGGATGCCCCCCGGCTCTCGGCTCTCGGCTCCCGGCTCCCGGCTCCCGGCTCCCGGCTCCCGGCTCCCGGCTCCCGGCTCCCGGCTCTCGGCTCCCGGCTCCTGGCTGTCGACCGGGCTGGACTGTCCTCCGCAGCTGTGTGGCTGGAGGCCGGCCTGAACTGAAAAAGGAGCTACAGTTCATTACAAAATGTTCACTAGTTACACAAAAAAATGAAAAAAGTATTTATGTCCCTGTAATACTTTACACCCAACACTGGTAATGAAGTACAAAAGTAAAAGTACAATATGTAAGTGTCTGTACTTCACTAAAGTCCATTTTCCTGTGGAGACTTTTTCCTTTTTAGATCTGGATTTTCTTTCTGTTTACTGATCGTCTGTGACACAAACATCGTCTTATTTTCATATGTGGATTTTATTTCATTTTATTCATTTCATTTTCCTTCATGGAGATGATGTTGCTTTGTCTGGAATGTTTCACAGTACGGCATTAAACCTTTCTCTATCTCCATGGAGACCAAACCAGACCAAGTTACAGATCAGATCTGTGGAGAGGCGACACCGCACAAAGTCAGAATGTATTTTTGTTTGTTTTGTTTGTTTGTTGTTATTTTGAGCTTTAAACCTGAATAAATGTGATTGAATAAATGTAAATTAGAGCTGTTTAATGTCACACTGTGGAACATTCTATGGCAGAGTAATGGTGTATCCATAGAAACAAACAGACGATGGACCAAGTTCAAAAAGTTACACACTGATGTACTGAAATCGAGCCCCGTTGCCGTAGCGATTAGCAGTTCAAACCAAAATATTTAATCTTCTGAATGGGCAGAGGTTGTTAAAGGAGCACTGTGTAACTTTTCTGCTCTGTGGTGTTTTGTTGTTTTGTTTCAGAGAGTGTTTCGAAGCCCACGGTGACGGTCAAATGTGACAAACTGAATAAAGTCCAGTTCACCTGCTCAGTTCCTCAGGTAAGAAACTCTTTTCTTGTGGACTGGTGTTATGAGGATAAATAATCACAGGCTTCAACACAATATTTGTTCCTGTGGTTTATGGACGGACACTTTGGAGAAACTTTTTTCTACAGGACCTTTAATATTTATTTTCTTTATCATTTTATGCCTTTATTTTTCTTCTAGAAAAATAAACTTACATACCAGTGGGCTGAAAGTGGAAAAATCATCGACAATGAAAAAGGAGGAGTTCTAGTTCGAACTCTCACACAGCTGGGGTCCAACTCGTTTACGTGCAAAGTCTCGAATCCTGCGAGCTCCCAAACCAGTGACCCGACTAAATCCGACTGTGTTAAAATTGGTAAAGAGAAACAACACGAAATGTTCACTTCAAACACACTGAAATTAACATGACGCTTGCTAACATTAACGCTTAGTTTCTCTTCCCAAACCGACTTCACGCCCAGAAGAAGAAGAAGAGGCTTCGTTGTTCGGACTTCCCTTTTGGCTCATGGTCGGGATTCTGGCCGGAGGAGGAGGTAAGACCAGAGGCACTGTGAGTTCAAGGTGAAAACATGAAAAAACGGTTTATTTGAAACAGTTTGCAGAGTTCTTCCTCACTCATCGTCTTCATTATTCACCATGAGTTTATAAAAGCTTTTCTCAACTCGGAGAATAGAGCTGACAACAACTTTTTTAAATTAGATGTAATAACATGGTGTTATAACATGGTGTTATACGTGTAATAACATGGTGTTATACGTGTAATAACATGGAGTGTTATACGTGTAATAACATGGAGTTATACGTGTAATAACATGGAGTTATACGTGTAATAACATGGTGTTATAACATGGTGTTATACGTGTAATAACACATGGAGTTATACGTGTAATAACATGGAGTTATACGTGTAATAATAACATGGTTATACGTGTAATAACATGTGTAATGGTGTAACTCGGTGGTGCAGATGTAATGACACGTACGTTTCGTTCTTTCAGGTCGTGGTGCTCATGCTGATCGTGGCCATCGTCTGCTGCTCCATCAACAGGAAGAAGAGGAGGATGCATAGGAATAGGTAACGTGTATTAAAACAACAACAAAACATAAAGGAAATCACACACAAACTACACTAAACATTCGTGTAATAACTGGGTTATACGCTGTGACGCTAACTGCAGGCACTGCCCTGTCTGAGGGTTTGAGTAACGACAAACCGAGACGACAGAAAAGCCGGTAGCGGCTGAAGTTTGTGTTTTCTTCTGGTCAACGTAAATATGGAATTAAATAAAAGACAATTTAACAAGTTTTCCATGTAAACCTCAATTCGTAATTATTATTTCCATGTAAACTCGAAGAAGAATATTTTAATTCAGAACAATTAATTCAGAATTAAAAAACATCATGTAAACGTGCATGAGCCGTTTTTTCAGTTAGTCACTCTCTTCTTTTTGTTGAAAATCAAGCTACAAACTTTATTGACAGCGTTTGCTAATGTGTGCACTGTGTCACCATGGTAACTCCTAAAGATTCCACCATAGAGCTACATGTAGGACACCCCCAGAGTAAAGTAACTGCAAAGTATCAGTGAAAAAATGTTTTTTCTTTTGTGATGACTCCAGATGAACAAGAGCTGCGTCTCCAGTTGTCGACCGAAAACTACCAGAACCATCAGTGCACCAACCAACGAGGCCACGCCCACTCGCACGGCGCCGCCCCCTCGCAGCGCCTCACCCCGACCGAACACCGCCGCCCCGCACGGACCCATGTCTGCCGGACACACGGGGCCCAGACCCCCCCGAGACG